TGCCTTCACCCTAAGGCAGCTGGGATAGACTCCAGCCACCCGTGACCCTAGTGAGGATGAAGCGGTGTATAGATAACGGATGGATGGATTTTCACAAGCTTAGAGCATTAGACAGTGCTATATAATCTATAGTTGTCGAATGATAATGACCAGTGCTTTGCAGCATTTTACCTTTTTTTGGACCATTACATGCTGCTTGGTGCAACTGAGAAGCCAAAACCTGTAGCTGAACTGAAATGAGAGATGTAATTCTCAAGTAAAACTTGGAAAGGAAAGCCAAAAAATGATGGATGAACAGTTGGAAAAGGGCAACGCAAAGGCAAGCAAGAAAAAAATAATACAAAAAAAATATCTATCTATATAACATATCTATATTTATGCATTCAAAAACACAGACGAGAAAGTAAAAGATGATAAAAGATGAGGCTAAATGAATGACTTGTCCGACCAACATGGTTATATGACCTTCCTATAATCCGCTGCATTAAATATCTTGAATTTTAGAATGGTAAAGGATTACTCAAGCACTCTTTCATCTTACTCTTGATTGTGTCTCTCTAGGACATACAGTACACAACAGAAGTGAGCACAACCCTGTGCAATATTGCGTAAATGTCAAGCGATTCAAAACCACCTTTCAGAAACGGCACCATTTTAAAGTCGACAAGTACAGCGTTTTCTCTTCTAAACAATCTGAAACAATTACTTTAGAAAGACTAAACTGAATACAGGCACCAAAGTAGAACCTGAAAGAGCAACAGTGAATGTGATCACAGAGGCACAAGTTAGAAAGTTTGTAACCATCCATCCATTATCTATACACCTTAATCCTCACTAGGGTCATGGGGTGCTGGAGTCTATCCCAGCTGACTCAGGGTGAAGGCAGGGGACACCCTGGACAGGTCACCAGTCTATCACAGGGCTATACTTAGAGACAGACAACCAAGCACACTCACATTCACACCTACAGACAATTTAGAATCACCAATTAACCTCAACAAGTTTTTGGACTGTGTGGGAGGAAGCCGGAGAACCTGGAGAGAACCCACACTGCACGGGGAGAACATGGAAACTCCACGCAGAAAGATCCCAGGTGTCCTCACCAGGACACAAACCGGCGACCTTCTTGCTGCGAGGCAACAGTGTTAACCACTGCTCCACCTTGCAGCCCAAGTTTGTAAAAACTGAAACAAAATTCAAGACACCTGCGATTTCCAATTAGCCTCATTCCATGAACATGGTTATAAAATGACCCGTGAACACCAGAACTGTCTTTGTTCTGGATGTATGAGCTGAGTCTATCTGCATCATGGCTCCACGTGAAAAAGAATCACCAGAGAGATAGAAAAATCTGCTTGTGAGGCTTCACAAAGATGAAAAAATGATACAGGAGCATCAGTGAACAACTAGAACTTATATAGAGAGAGAGAGTTGCAGCAGTACAGGGGTGTCAAACTCTGGTCCTCGAGGTCCGCAATCCTGCAAGTTTTAGATGTTTCCTTCTTCCAACACACCTGATTCAAATGATCAGCTCATCAACAAGCTCTGCAGAAGTCTGATAATGATCCTGATCATTTGAATCAGGTGTGTTGGAAGAGGGAAACATCTCAAACATGCAGGACTGTGGCCCTCGAGGACCAGAGTTTGACACCCCTGAATCCGGAGGTAAAGAACAAGACAAAGCAAAATGACTTCATAGACAGTGATTGTTTTTGTTCTAAGTACATCCTGGGTTCCAGTCATGTCAGGTACTGAGAGAAGTTTTCATTTAGTTCCCAGAGTTTTCTCCTCAGGACCGGATTAATTTCTCTAAAGACATTCTCAAAAGGTTGTCCTTAAAACATTTTAGGAATGCTGCAGTGAGAACATCCTTCGTTTGTTATCATATGACATTGTGGTAATGTTTTGTAGAGAAATGTTAGTTTAACCTCAACCCCAAAACATCCTCAGAATGTTGCGAGCACAATGTTGCACCTTTGTTTAAGATATCACGTTACAGAAGCGTTGGTGTGAATGTTGGCCGAGAACGCTCTTGTCAGATTTGATACATGATACAAGATCCTCCAGACATCGTCTGGCTGTTCAGCAGTGTTTCTGAGATTAATTTTTTACCTCATGGGAACATCATTTAAAATACTAGTCTTTTGAGCTTTAGAATAAAATGTTTTCTTTANCAACAGTGCTACCAACTGCGCCACCCTGCAGACCCCGGTCAGATATGTTCATTTGATTTGCTACGATTTATCATAGTTGTCTTTTTTTTTTTTTTTTTTTAAAACAGCACACTATGTAATTATGTTCTTTGCTTTTCTATGTATTTCCCTTGCGTGGAAGAAGGTTTAAGCTCAAATTTACTTTGCATCTTCTGTGACCTTCTGTCTCAGCAGCTACACACACCAGTCTTCCAAGAACATCTTAAACAATTTGGCTTCAGGTAGGTGTGCCTGATGGGAGGAGAAAGTGACTTTATTTGGCCAGTCATGATTTGCTTTTTGTGGAGTTTTCTATATTTTCCTTTTTTTTAAAAAGGATGCAGACGGAATGGCAACTATTTCAGAATTTCAAAATTTGTGTAAACAAAGCTTAGAATTCAGTAGTGGAAAGGAAACCAGCTGATTCAGACTGAAGTTTCCATAGTGCTGACCAAACTAAGGCCTGAGGCTGTAGAAGTAAACTCACTAAACACTGGTGTTAAATTACACTGGTGACAAACAAATATGGTCTAAGAGGAGCCGAGTCTCAGATTCTTACTGGAAGTGCAGAGAAACCTGCAGAGCAAGTCCTCAGCCTTGATGCCGACTCAAGGTTGTGTTTGCTTTTGCTATGTGTCAGTGCCACTGTGTACCGCTGACTCTTTGGAGTCTGTTGCTGAGATTGACCAAACACAAAGAGAGACTCGGGGAGGGATTTGGTGTCCTGTCTGTCTGAGGCTATGTTTTAAGTTCACAGAGAGAGAAACAAAAACCTGCTGACCTCTGAGATCAGCTCAGTAATAAAGATCTGTTTCCTCACATTCTGTTTCTTCCGTTTCTCTCTATGAATATGAGATATTCCTGCTACTTTGTACTCTTTGTCGCTTTTGTTTGGCCGTGTTGTCAAAACCACGTCAACGTCAATTTCAGTGTCACTACTGTTGTCTAACAAGCTACAGGTTTGTATTTTCTGAACCAATCAGCCCCAAAACCTTGTTCTTTCAATTAAAATCATTGTAATCTTGTCTCTCTATCCCTTTACCTTTACCTCTGCTCCACCAGCATCTAGACTGTGGGAGGAATCTGCTCCATGATGACCCTTTGCACCGGAATCAAACTGCCAAAATACTTTTATTTTGCTCATGCTTCTGGTTTAGATTTTACGTTTTACGTCCAAATGATCTGTCCATATTAAACGTAAAAAGTGTGCAGTCACAGATACCAAACAATCATTTTTATCTCTCAACTTTCATGAAACTTGATGCCTAACTATCCTGCCAGGGTGTGTAAAGTGATGCCTTCGTGCTCAAACCGCACATTCAAATCAAAATTAGAGTTAAAGGAGTTAAGAAAGATGAGATGATTCGGAGAAAGGCCACACATAACATCACTATCCATCACTCTACCAACAAACTAAGATCATATTTGTGGTTTTGACACTTCTCGGATTTCTAGCTTAACAGTTCTAGTTTTTCTTAAAAAATCTTCTCAGTGTGCTGCATTATCCATACTGGAACTGGCCTTACATTACAATTACATTAATGTATGATTGTTTTTGTTCCTCCCCTGTGATTTGTTCTTTAAGACAAATGCAAAAATGATTCATATACGTCCCCAGCATGGATTACTGTCAAAATGACATCATGCATTATTGCTGTACGTCACCCCGTTGTTCTAAGGAATCATATTGCAACTTGTTTAAATTTTCAATTGGAATAATTACAAGATGTTAAACTACACTAATTATACTAATTTTTGTAAGTTGCTGTTGTGCTGTTACTGAAAGTATCAGTAATGTATTAAATATGTTCACTGACATTGACTTTAATTATTTATTAAATGAAGTCATTTAATGTTGTTTTTGTTTTGAGGAACTCAAGCAGCCCGTTGTCATCACACTCTCTCCTCTGTGCTTCACTGTCAGGACAATGCATCCACTGTGGTAATCCTGACTAGTTTTACATCAGATGTGCTGGACCCCATCTGAGTCAAGCTAATTACTCTTGTTCTCATCTTAAATAATGTGTCCACGACATTCATCAGACTTCTTTTCATGTACAGTTTATAATGCAGGATTTACGCGCCGTCCTCTCTGCGAGAAAGTCCAATCTCCAATAATAACGTTGCATATCTGTGTTCATGCCGTGATTCAAAGAGAACGAGACACTGCACCTCGTTCTATACCTCCTGATTCCTGCTGCAACTGGTTTCCCACTGTTTTTTTTTTTTTGTTTGGACACCAATCTTCCTGTTTCCTTTTCCATCTTTATGAAGTCACACAACTGGATTTTTCTATTCCTCTGACAATTCTTTTCCATGTGGAGCCATAATGCAGACATGCAGATAGACATAAACCACACGTGTTTAACTGAAAAGGTCCTATTATTCACATTTCATTTTATAACCATGACCTTTGGTGGCTTTTAACATGTACGTACAAATTGAACTTTCAGTCTTGCTTGGAAAGGCTGCAATTAAAGTCAACAAAAGCATGGAAATGTTATTTTGATGTGCCCTACTTCTATTTGCGTCCTTGTTCATCTTGTTTTTAAAATATGCTGCTTATTTTTGAGCAGTACCTATAGGTGTTTCTTGGTATGTATTTTG